CAGTGTATGAGCAGAAGCCAAAGCTAAACCATTGCTAATGGAATCTGTGTCCCTGGGATACTAATTAACTCCTAATACTAAGCCAGGAGCTACTGGGAGAAGCAGCTTATTGGGAGGGGAAAGACTAAAGAGGTTTAAAGAAAAGTACTCTAACTGGAGAGGAAAAAAACACCTCAGGGGCATAGGAGGAAACTTTTTTTCTCCATCCCAGCATTCTTTTGTTTCTTCCATCCTTTTTCATTTAAAAAAATACATTTTTAATTGATTTCAGAGAGGGAGAGATAGAAACATCCTATATAATAAAAGGCTAAAATGCACATTGTCCTCTTGACTGAGAGTTCCATCAGGAATTCAACAGGCAGTTTGATTAGGGGGCGGGACCGGACACTCAACCACTCCCAGACCTTCTCCCTCCCCCCCACCCGCCCCCACTCTCGCCGGACCCCACCTGTGCATGAATTCGTACACCAGGCCTCTAGCCAATGGTAAGAATCATTGATAGGCTGTCTCCTGCGTGTCCCCCACTGGGGATTGAGCCCACCTCGGCATGTGCCCTGACCAGGAATCAAACTGTGACCCCTTGGTTCATAGGTCCATGGTCAACCACTGAACCATGCCACCCAAGCCCTTTTTTCCTATTTTCCTTTCTCCACTCTGTAATTTCCTGGAAACTGACTAGAGAAAGGCTCTCCCCACCTGGAGCCTGCTCTCCCTATTCTCTTGAATATGGAAGTTGTTGGGTAGATGCTTTGCTCCCTGGGTGTCTAACCTTGCCTGGGCATAAGCATCCCAGCTTCTCCCCTAGCGATTCTGATTCAGAGGGTCTGAGAATATGTATGTTTAACAAGTGTCCCAGGTCCTCCTTATGAGTTTGGAGAATGATATTCCCTCTCAGAATACACAGTCCCTGGGCCTGAAGTGGGACCCCTGCAGTCATGTCAGAGTAAATACAGTTCAGAAGAAAGGTGTTAGCAATGGAAGCTGCAGCTATCACCTCCCTTTCCAGATAGCTCTGTTTGTTTCACTATTAATGTTTTAAGCATAGTTGTTAGAATAAACAGCTGACTTTTTTTTTCTTTCACTGTATTCCCCCATTCAATCTTGGCTGCCACAATCAGACAAACAGAAAGTGCAAGGACCCTTTTTTCTTTGACTTTATTTTTAATGTGCACATACAAGCATATGAATCCATTCTTTTAGGTAAGCCCACCAGCCTGATCTACTACTTTTAACCTGAACTATATTAGCCAGCACCTCCTCTGGTGGCAGCACCCTATTCCCAGTTTGTTAAGAGCAGGACTATTCTGATGCTCTTGAGTAATCTAAACCACCCACCAAAAATCACTATTTCACAGCCACTGGTGCAAAGAAAATGGCAAAAACAAACATACCAGTTGAACCATTCACCGAATCTTCCATTCAACACAGATGTTCAAAAAACTTTGTAGAAAATCTGTAAGTAAACTCTTTTTTCTTTAAATAGTCACCTGTTGTAAAAAGGACTGTAGAGACATTTCTGCTTAGGCCTAACTGCATATTCATGTCATCCCCATAGACCTCTGGAAAAATAAAAATATACTATTTGTTATTTTATTATACTACTAGTGGCCTGGTGCATGAAATTTGTGCACATTGAAAGGGAATTAATTGGAAGAAATATTTTAATATCACTATTCACCCTTTCTGAATAATAGAAGTGTCAACCAAATTCACAATCGACAATGACAAATCAAAACACATGCATGCAATTGGCACCAATGAGAGCTTTATATGTATCTCACATGCACAAGTCAACTTAGCCTTTTATAGATATAAAATAAACTTGCTTAATTAGACCTGCTTTCTGATGTAATCTTTTTCCTTCCCAATGAAGCACCCCGAACTTCTCTTTCACGTAATTGTTAGCAACACAGCAGTAAATATCAACATGAAGCAGATTATTATTGTTGATCACACAGGATGAAATATTTATCTGCAGCAGTGTTTGACTATATTCTGCGCAGGGAGAATACCTTAAGTCTTTTTCAAGGTCCACCATTTCTTACTTCTTTTCAGTCAGGATGTTTCTAAACTTTCTAAAACTCCATTTTCCAGCTAATGAAAAGAAAATATGATTCCACCAAGTCTCCTATTCACCTACTCCAGGACTTCTATGAGGATCAAATGAGATGAGGCACAGGAAAATGCTTCACAGACATTTGGTTAAAGTGTCAAATATTTCCACCTGGCTATAAAGCAAGTCGTGTTCCTGGGCTGAAACTCCAAGGAAGCTAGTCACTTGGGAGAGGAAGCCTGGGCATTGCTATGTGATGTCATTACCCAGTGCCTACAGCTACCATTTCCGGGCTGGGCTGTGGGCTGCAATTTGTGCCATGGGGTCTTGGCAGCATCAGCTGTGACTTGGTGGGCTGTCACTTCAGGATGGTGGTGGGGCCTGTGTCCCACTTGGGGGAAGCTGAGTGTTGCTTTGTGGGAGCCAGGTCCATGGTGCCATTTCTCTGTAAATGGCCAGTGTGTGTCATGGATGCTCCTGCATTGAGCATCTGCCCCGATAGTCAGTGCACATCATATCAACTGGTCAGATAGTCAGACACTTAGCATATTAGCCTATATATATATATATATATATATATATATATATATATATATATAGTTTGAGTTTCAGCCTGTTAGCCATGAACTAATTAAGACTGAAGAGTAGCCTGTGGCATTACTATCACCCATGTGCTGCTAAAGGAAGTGGCCTATTGTGTATCTCCTATAAACAGATTGTCAAGAATAAAAGACAGTATTGTCACATCATGCTTGCCTCTTCCTAGGAATGCTCACGGCAAAGGGCTGTTCTTAGAAAAGAAAAACATACCTCTGTAGCATCAGGATGTCTCCACTCATGAAACTACAAATTACGTATTAGTGTCATGGTTCTGGATTCTATTTTTAAACTTGACCTTGAGCTGATTTCTACTTGCCTGTACAGAAAAGCTCTGTACAGGCAAGTAGAAATCAGCTCAAGGTCAAGTTTAAAATTAGGCAAAAGAATTTAAATTATTTGATGAAAACATTCTTGTAAGCCAGCTATTATTCAAGAATGGGTTCTGGAAAGATCTATTAGTTCCCTAGAGGCCATACTTATTAATATATTTAAGTGGTTGTAAAGGAAATAGCTGAGGTGGAAGAAGAGAGAACTTGTGTGAGAACTTAATACAATGTCATTCATTTAACAAAGGAAGACACTCATATGAAATGTTACCTGACTAACCAGCTATTTCCTTAGGACTCTGAAATGTCACTGCTTCCTCCCCAGTGAGTAGAAAGGGCACTGAGCTGAAGATATGGGTGCATGGATTTGAGTCCAAGTGGATTCTAGTCCTGATTCTTCCTGGATATAACTCTGCATAATCATTTCATGCAATGCTTCAGCTCTGCCTTCAATTGAATGGGAAAATAAAAATATACGTCCTACTTCACACTGTAGCTATGAGGCCTAACTGTGTAACTTGCATTAAATATGGTAGAACAGGCTCTAATAAATGTGAACAAGGAAATGTGAACAAATGTAAAGCACTAAGAACAGTGTTGTTAGTAACATTGTTCCTTCCATGGAAATGAGCCTATGCTTTATTAAACTCTCATATTACTGAAAGTCCCAAATACCCAGATTCAAAAGAGAAAGTGCAAGGAATTGCATTCAAAGGGGAATAAGAAATTATCTAACATAGCCCAACATCCCTGAAGCCTGAGAGAGGCTGATTTTCATAAGCTTGGTTATATACCAGGACTCTGGCCACTGAGCCTATTTCTACCCAAAAAATGTTTGTTTTCCCAATAAAGCCAAATAAGGACCAACAGGGGCCCAATCTTCCCATGACCAAGACTGCAGACATAGAAAAGCAACACTCTGAATAATTCAGAACAGTGGCCGTGCAGGCACAGAGCAAAATGGTAAAGAGAAATGTTCTAGGAGCTTACCTACTTTTTTTCAATATGTTTTTTATTTTTTTCACAGAGAGAGATATCAGTGAAGAGAGAGAAACACTGATTGGCTGCCTCCTGCATGCTCCCTACTGGGGATTGAGCCTGCAACCAGAGCATGAGCCCTAATGGGGAACTTAACTGGTTCATGGTTGTTTAACCACTGTGCCATACCAGCTGGGTCCCTTATGTTTTTTTTATTTCTTCCTCATTTCTTCTTGACAAGGTCCCCTGGTACACAAAAAGAACATCTTCCACCTCTTAATGACAAACACATAAGAATCTATTGATAACTTTGTTGGACTCCATTATACTATTAAAGAAAGCACACATGAAGACTGATAGTCAATTTAATGTATTATTTATGGTGTACTTTTTTCCTTGCCAAGAATAAGAATAAACCAGAAAGAGGAAAAATAATAAAACTGGGAGACTGAAATACATAACGCAAGACACATACAAATCTACATATAATCCTCGTGTGCTGAAAGATTTTCTTAACAAAAAGGTTGCATTCCAAGTTGCTGCTAGTTTTGATGCAAACGTAATATGTACCATGGCCCACAAGCCTATGGCTTCAAGTAGGTAGAGTACTGTCATCACAAGTTATTCTTTGTTCAAGATTTCTATTTCAGAGTTAAGCATGCCTTGGTAGCAATAACGGTTATACTTAGGGCAAGGAACCCACACCAAGGAAAAGACACTGTGGAAAAATACAAAAGATTTACTCTACCTAACCTAGCAACTCCTACCGAACAACATGTACTCTGCATGTTTACGAGTTGTGGCCCGTGGTTGTGGACAATTCACTACAGAATTAAAACCAACACTGTGTGTTACATTTAGTATACAGCATAGCATGCCTTTCCTGCAGATCGGGAGACTGATGGCCTGACAGCAGCAATGTGGTGGGATGTTGTTCTTTTTTTAGCCCCCAAATGGAAAAATAATAATAATAATAATAACATGGTTGACGATCCCGATTAAATTCCAATCCAATTCAAAACTCGATTAAATTCCAGTCCAATTCAAAACTCATCTTCGGAGCTGTCAGCTAAGAGCATGACTCGGTCTTGCATGCTGTTGAATTCTCTCTGCTGGAGAAAGAAAACAGAAGAGCATTAAAACCCTCTCTGCTGCAGAGCAACACTGAGGGACGGCCCCCTTGAAAAGGCACACCCACGAGTGAACAAAGCCAAGGCGGCAACTCTCCCAGCTAATCCCAAACCACTGGGCACATCCAGACCGGCCCTGCCTCATGAGCCCCATGTGCTTTAATAAGCAAATGAGAATAGCAAAGAATGCTCTGAAATGGAAGAGGTTTTGCTGTTGTTGGTTCCATACCTTTCTTTTGTGCCTTTTGAAGCCATTTCGCCTTCTGCGGTTCATCACCTTAATGCTGTAGAGCGCTCCCAGGATGAACAAGGCTCCCGCTATCCCCACCCCTACAGGCACCAGCATCCCGGACATGTAGCCAGCCTGTAGGGAGAAGGAAACCACGTTAGGACGCTCCACAGACCCCAGCCCTGGGTTCCTCATTTCTACTGGATGGCGGCAGGTTTTTAGACACCGTGAATTCTCCCATCTGCTTCATTATAAAATAAAACGGCGTTTAGAATACAGTTGCTTTTTAAGGGGGGAAGGCAAAGGGAGAGAGGCGTGGTGGCTATTTTTGGATATTTCCAATACTTAGAAGTATTACCATAAATCAGCCAGACCTCCTGGCACCTCCAGCTTCTGATTATGCACATTTGTCAACATCAGGTTTGGGTGACAGAAATACTAGTATAATTTGTATTAAAGATGGATGAAGTAAGCTTCTCAGAATGCCAGGACTATTAAAATGCTATAAATTGGAAATGTCAACCTGAGTCAAGCTTTGGGACAAGGCGGGGGTGGAGTGCCCTCTGGGATGCTGTATTTCTTGGAGGGTAGGAGGAGAGCCTTGACATTGGTGGGCTGCTCTCCCACAATCCTAGCGGCATTACAGCAAAAAGGAGAGAGAAATGTGCTTGAATGCAAGGTGAGGGCTCCTGGAAACAAGCAGGAAGAGAAGAACCCGCAGAGGAAAGAGGAAGGGGGTTAGGTGTTGGAGCACAGGGAGAAATGACAGGGATAAGGAGGAAGTGTGCACAGAGAGTGGGTGGGTTAACCTATATAAAAGGGATAATCTGCCCAGTGGACAAGTTGGGGTTGGAAGGGAATTCTTTATTTTTAATATATTTTATTGATTTTTCACAGAGAGGAAGAGAGGGATAGAGAGTTAGAAACATCGATGAGAATCATCTATCAGCTGCCTCTTGCACACCCCCTATTGGTGATGTGCCCGCAACCAAGGTATGTGCCCTTGACCAGAATCGAACCTTTCAGTCTGCAGGCCGACGCTCTATCCACTGAGCCAAACCGGTTTTGGCTAGGAGGGAATTCTGAGTGTCCCCAGCCCCAAAGAAAGTGGCAGAGAAGGGCAAAAAGATCTCTGCCAATAACAATGGTGCCTCCAAAAGGTATCAAACCTATGCATGTCTCCAGTGTCCCCAAGGTGTCTCTGTGGATAAGTCGGCCCTAAGATAGCAACGTGATCTCCACACATCCTAGGCTTGGGTAAGTAGCTCCAGACTTATCCAAGCTCAGGGTAAGGCCGTCACAGTAAGGGTGCTCCCTGCACTTGGCCAATAAGACACCTATGGGCTAGAGGAGGGAACATGACACTAGTCTGCCTTCCAAGAAGGCCCTTTCTATAATAGAAGCCTGCCCAGACAAAATACATGAACAATTTAAAATCTTGAAGCTGTAATAAGTACATTAGATAGGCATTATTGTAAGGGGAACTATGAGTCTACTCATTAATTTATTTCTCAAGTTTCTAATAGAGCACAATTTTTAGTATATTTCAGAATGAGCCAAGAACAGAGAGAGACAGAGAACAAAAGTTTTCTAAAAAGTGCTGAAGTATGCAGTCTGTGATGTCTCCCCAACATTTTTAGAAATAAGTGAAAGGGCTAGACAAGGCTTTGCAAAAGTGCACCCTCTTCTAAACAGCTGGCCAGCTTACTGGTTCTGCTTCCCACAGTCTTGACTTAGGGCAGAATATAAAAAACATTTCCATTGATTTGAGAACAATAGCATTGTTCACTCAAATACTAAAAGTTTTTTCTTAGAGAAACAAAGCCCAGTCATTTTGCAACAAATCACTATGCTTTGCATGAACCCAAACTCTTTTTTTAAAGTTCTTCCAGATAGACTTTAAAAACTTTATAATTTCCCATGCAGGAAAATACTGAAAATTTACTCTCACCACAACTATAATTTTTTTTAATTACCATTCCCAGTGCATGGAAACATATGTACATGTTGAAACTTGATCAACTTTACACACAAAAAATTAGACTTTCAGAGCATGATATCGGAGCTTTTGGAAGTTCAGCTTGATTAACTGCTCTGTGTGGGTCGCCTTATGCTCTGCAACTTATCCCCAGTTACAAGATGGGAACAAAGCAGCCTACCCCTTCCCAAACCTGGCTAATTGAAAATAAGCTCTCCTTTTAGAATTGTCCATAACTTGTTTCCTGCAGAAATGAAGACAAATATGATAAATGCACATGATTTCTAAGTGATCAATTCTGCCCAGTTCCTTTTCTCTGTTCAAAATTATTACTTTTATATTTGGCTCCACACGTAACACTCTGAAAACACAAATAGCACTGTGTATGTTCCAGCTAAACACATATAATCACAAGGAAATAGTAAAAATAAATAAATAAGTCAATAAGTTAAAATTTTTTTAAAAACACCCAAAATGAAAGAGATTCTATTTTTTTTCAAAAGGACTGTATTCTTTATCTTTAAGTTTAGATATATTTTTTTATTAATTTTAAAGAGAGAGGAAGGGGGAGAATGAGAGCAAGAGAGAGAGAGAAAAAAAAGCAGAGAGAGAGAGAGAGAGAGAGAGAGAGAGAGAGAGAACATCGATTTGTTGTCCCATTCATTCATGCATTCACTGAATGTGCCCTGTTTGGGGATCAAACCCACAGCCCTGGTGCATCGGGATGATACTCCAACCAACTAAGCTATCCGGCCAGGGAAGAAAGGACTATATTCTTAAAACATGTCAGTGTCATGAAGGACAAAAGATGGCTATAAAAAAATGTTTTGGGTTAAAGGAAACTTAAGAATCATGACCACTAAGTGTGTTACATGACCCTAGACTAGATTCTGTACTGAAGGAGAAAACTGTTTTTATAGAGAACATTTTAGACTTATTGAAGAAACTGAAATATGGATGCCAGATCAAAGTACTTCGTTGGTGTTAAATGTACTCGTGCTGATAACTGTACATGTGGGCTAACAGAATGTTCCTGTTCATAGGAAATACATACTGATGTACTCGAGATACAAGCACCTTCATGTATGCATGTTTTCCTCAAATGGTTCACAATGGGGAGAGAGATTTTAACTTGGCTACCTATTGTTATATTTTCAACATCTACATTGTACCAGCAAATGATAAAGCAAATGAGGTAAAATGTTAAAAACAAGCACATCCGGGTAAAAAGTAGAAATTCTTTGTAATATCCTTTTCTTGTATCTTGACATTATTTCCCAATAAAGTTTTACATTTTTAAATAGACTGTAAGCTAAAATAGTACTAGATACAGTTGGTTTGGGTTCGTTTTGTTTTACTTTTATGAGAAAGGTACCCTTCCTTAGGATAATGTATGTGCTCAGAAACATCTGTCTTCAAGAAAGCCATGAAAGAACCAAATGATACACTGTACGGACAATGCTCTTAGGATTTCTCTGCAACAGTGGTTGTCAACTTGAGCATACATCAGTCAACTTCAAGATGTGTTCAAACACAAGATTGTTGGGCTCCATTCCCAGAGTTTGCGACTCATGGGGACTGAGATTTTGCATTTTTAACAAGCTCCTCAGTGATGCTACTGCTGCTGCTCCAGACCACTCATGAGAAGCACGGCTGTGGAGTATAGTCTGGGGCTTCCCTATTCTGGACAAATTCCTAAAGCTAGAAGAAATAGAATGAATGGTCTTGGTGACATAACAACAGTGCTGGTCTTTAGTACATAACTATGAATCTTCAGTTTTGATAAACAAATTGGATGTTGAAAAATATATCAATAGGTAGCCAAGTTAGGATTTGCCTCACAAGCACCACTAACTTGGAAATTAACTAGGAAGAAGGTTAATGATGGAAAGAGGTTAATGATGAGAAAAGCTGTCCCTGAATATCCATTTGCCCTTTCTTCTAGAGCAGTGGTCGGCAAACCAAGGCTCGCGAGCCTCATGCAGCTCTTTGGCCCCTTGAGTGTTCTAATGCCACTTCTTCAAAATAGACTCACCCAGGCCGAAAACCAACTTCTGCGCATGGGCCATGAAGTTTCAATCACACTGAAAGTGCGTGCCCTTTTTAGGGCCCAGCTAACTAATAGGGAAACCAATATTGAAAACAATTAAATGAAGCAAAACTGAGAAGTTTAGTCTGGATTGGCTGAAGAGCCCATTAAATATGTAGTTTAGTTTTCCATCCTAAGACATTCTGTGACTTTCTTCAAAGAGGCAATGGTTTTGTTCTCAAATAGTTTCTGAAGATAATGACTAATAAGAGTTGTATAGGTGATAACTACCATTTTTCCCCAAAAATAAAACATCCTCCGAAAATAAGACCTACTTACAGGTTTCCTTCTGAGTGAAATATAAGGCATCCCCCCGAAAATAAGGCCCCCCCTAGGCTCTGTCTCAGAATGAAAATTAATTTACCGTAAACTGGTTGCTAGGGCCGCCCTAACTGGTGTCTAGCAACCAGTGACATTACACAGAATCCTGACATCACTGCTGTGTGGAGCGGAGAGGAGGTCAGAGTGAGCGGTGAGCACAGGGCGGGAGAGAGGAGAAGACTTTTGCAGACGCGTGTACAAGAACAGGAGGATTAGAGCAGACGGGACGCAGTGAAGGTGGTGAGTGCTGGTCTGTCTCTGGTGAAACTACCTGATGCTCACGGCCACCCTCATGATGACTGAAGGTTCTCAGTCAGTGGCAGACCCTGCTCCAGCCCAGATCCAGGCCCCAGCAAGCCCAGTGACAGTCCCCAGGCAGACCCCAGGGGGTAAATGTCTGATAAGGGGTAGGGGGGATGTCTGGTGAAGGTGTTCAGTGGCACAGGGGTTGGGGGAGGGAGATCACTTAAAATGACACAGGAGGAAGTGTATCCTTGGGCATGTGAAGGTATTATTGATATGAGAAAATGCTAAGTAACTGATTTACTATCTGAAAAGGGATTTATTATCGGGGAAAGGGAGGGAGGAAGAGACTGAACATAAACTGTGCATCTATGGATGAGGACAATGGGGGAGGGGAAGGGGGTGGAGGGTGAGGTGGGAACCTGGTGGAGGGGGGAAGAAATGAGGAACCTTTGTAATAATATGAACAATAAAGATTGATTTAAAAAAAGAATGACACAGGAGGATCAGAGGGGGCACTCAAAATGACACAGGAGGATCAAAAGGGGTTACTAAAATAGTAAACCCCCCCCCTCTGATTCTCCTGTGCCATTTTGATTCCCCCCCCCTTAAGTGAGGGGGATCACTTAAAATGATCCCCCGTGTCATTTTAAGTGATCCCCCTCCCGCCACCTTGATACCCCAATTCCTTATTTTTTACCCCTAGAAATGAGCGCAAAAAGAAAAAGCTACTCCATGGAGTACAAGAAAGGAATCGTGGAAGACCCTTGGGGCCAAAATCTTACTGCTTTCTGCAAAGAGAAGATGTTGAGTATCTGATTAGTCCAAAAATGGCGAGCAGAGTATGGTACCTCATTGAACAAGTGAACAAGGAAAATGCTAAAAAGCACAAATGTGAATCAAGTTGGCAACCATTATTTTCCGAGCTGGAAGACCTGATCTGTGAATGGGTTGATGACAGGAGAGCAAAGGTTTTAGTTGAGAAAAGGGCTCAGATTCAAGAATTTGCCCTTTCAATGGCACCACAGTTTGACATAGCCCCCGAAGACTTCAAAGCATCACAACACTGGCTGGATAATATCCTTCAGCGAAGTGAACTGTCTTTAAGAAGATCTACAATGTTGTTTAGGTTGGAAGATACTCAAGTTATTAACCGAGCACTTGCATTCAAGTGCTTTATTGATGATGCTGACTTCTCTAAATACAATCTTTCCAACATGATTGCTATGGATGAAATTGCAGTGTTTATGGGCCAATCATCTCAAACAACAATTAAACAGTGGGGTGCCTCCTTAGTGTACATTCCCTCCACTGCTTACGAAAGTGCACGTTTCCTGTATTTTGGCAATTCGTCTGGATGGCACTAAAATCCCACCTTTAATCATTTATAAGGGCAAGAGGGAAAAGATTGGACGTGTTTTTGGCATTTTTATTCTTGAAAATGAAAAAACCTGGGCCACACAAGCAGTTATAAGGAAGTGGGTTGATTTGATGCTGCTGCTTGTTATGCGAGGGAGCCAAAGAGGTCTGCTAGTCTGGGATGCAGCCAGCACTCACCACACTAAAGACATGAAGACATTTCTTCATGAAAGAAAAATAGATCAGATAATGATTCCCGCAGGAATGAAGGCCTATCTCCAGACTCTTGATATTGCAATAAACAAGCCATTCAAAGACAATTTGCACATGGAAATTAATGACTACATTGAAAATAGAATGGACAGAAATGAGCATGGAAACTTTGTGAAACCTAAACTGCAAAAAGTTGTGACTTTAGTGAAGAATTCATGGGAGAAAATCACTGACAGTTGCATTGCAAATGCACTGCGAGCAGGCTACCTTGACAAGAAGTACTCATTTAAAGACAGGGCTATTGCTAAACATGAGATATTTGGTCCACTGGTTCTGAAAGAAATGGAGTCACAAGAAATTCACCAGGAAATTCAGGAACTGGATTGTTATGATGATGTTCCAGAAAATGATGATATGATTGTCATTGAATAAATGAGTAAATTCTTGATACTGTAGGATTCACAGTTTGTCTGGTTTGTGTTGACAACTACCGTACTACTGTACCGTATACAGGTAATAAATTTCCTTTATTTTCATTTAACAATAAATGTGTACCGTATTCTTCTTCATGGAAAAATAAGACATCCTCCTGAAAATAAGACCTAGCACATCTTTGGGAGCAAAAATTAATATAAGACACTGTCTTATTTTCGGGGAAACAGGGTTGCTGGATGAAGAGAGAGAGAAAGGAGAGGAGGGAAGAAGAGCTACATATATATGTATTTGTATACACATGAATGTATGTGTCAAGTAAGTGCATAATATTTCTCATGGAGGTTGAGATATATGGAAAAGATTAGAATGAGTCCCTTCAAAATATGAAGATATAAGACATTAAATAAGTAAACCATGGTGGGAGTCTCAACTATTTTTCTTCCAATTTTTTTAAAATTAAGACAAAGTTGAAACAATTACTATAAAAATGAATAGAGGGTTAAATTTTTTCAAAATAACTCAGGATACTAAAATCCATACATAAAATTATTTCTCTTGGTGAAAAGGACCAGGGAAGGTACCAGGCCTTTGAGATAAGATCAGAAGGAAGTGCCCACAAGAATAAAACATATGGTCTTTGTCTACAGCTGCACAGATTTTTAACTCGAGTAGCAAAGCTATTTATATATACAGGTAAGAAATGTTGCAATATCCAACTTCAAAACAGGCTGCATGCCAAAATTTGTTTTCTTAAGACTATTTTTGTCCATTCCTGTAACTCAGCATACTCTCTATAGAAACAATGACATATGAATTCCTAAATTAAACTACCAACGCCTGTTCACTTCTCATTACATATTTCCCCCTGAAAAATAACAAGCACTACCAATGTAAATACATACAGCTCTAAGCTGGTGAACTTTTCTTCCCCCAAAATCTTGTTCATCTTACCTGATCAGACACACAAATAGTCTCATTCTCAAAAACTATATTTGCTAAATTTTACTGAGAGGCAGAAAAATAATAGTGAGGAGAATTAACATAATTTATCATGATATTCGCACCTAGTTTTATTCTTGCATTCTTTAACATTGAGCTACAGCAAAATAAATATTAACCATTCAAATATGGAGGAAATTGACAACAAGTAATAAAAAAAGATATGGAATACCATCAACAGAAGATTATTCTAAGGTAAGCAAATTAGAGGTAACTCAATACCTGGCAGTTGATAATATTTTCATTGAATTAACCCCCAGTTAAATCTGAGCTGGGCTCTGGTAATGGGACCTGACACAGGCTACAGCAATGAATTCAAGATGCCATCAGTATTTTCACAGGAAATTCCAATTTAAAATTACAAGATAGCCAAAAATGAAAACTTGGGCCATGTAGAGAACCAAAAGAAAATGAAAAATATGAACACGGAAGGAAGTTTTAATATTGTCAACCACAAAGTGGATAGAAGAATTAATGCAAGAGGGAAAATATTTTTCTTTTCTTTTCTTTTTTATTTATTTATTTTTTAATTGATTTTTCACAGAGTGGAAGAAAGAGGGACAGAGAGTTAGAAACATCGATGAGAATCATCGATCAGCTGCCTCTTGCACACCCCCTACTGGGGATGTGCCTGCAACCAAGGTACATGCCCTTGCCCGGAATCGAACCTGGGACCTTTCAGTCCGCAGGCCGACGCTCTATCCACAGAGCCAAACCGGTCCCTGCGAGAGAGGAAAATATTTTTCAATATTGGCCATTCCAGACAAATCAGCTCATTATCATATAGTAAGTAGCGGCATTGGGATGGACTACATAAAATGGGGTATAAAGAGAGTGGTCAGGCCGGGACCGGTTTGGCTCAGTGGATAGAGCGTCGGCCTGCAGACTGAAAGGTCCCGGGTTCGATTCCAGTCAGGGGCATGTACCTTGGTTGCGGGCGCATCCCCAGTAGGGGGTGTGCAGGAGGCAGCTGGTCGATGATTCTCTCTCATCGATGTTTCTAACTCTCTATCCCTCTCTCTTCCTCTCTGTGAAAAATCAATAAAATATATTTAAAAAAAAAAAAAAAAGAGAGAGTGGTCAGGTATTTGAATGTTTTTGTGCCACCCCCCACTATAGTTTAAAGGTGCCCATTCCATCTCAAACTTTTGTTCTTAAATCAAGTCTGCCCATGGGTCAGAATAATCAGTGCCTTCCAAAGCCAAGATATTTCTTCCTCACTAAGGAAGATCAGGCTTAAAAGAGCCTTGAATTGGGACAAGAAATGCCCAATAGCATGAGATTACAATCCTGAAATTCTCTAGAAGGAACTCCACTTTGATATGTTGACAATGGTATTGAGTAAAACATGCTTATATAACATTTACTCTCTAGAGCACCATTCATTTCTTAAGGCAACATCTGGTATGCTCAATCATCAGATGTTGCTTTAAGAATAAATGCTGGCTCTAGCTGGTTTGGCTTAGTGGATAGTGGGTCTCGGGTTTGATTCTAGTCAAGAGCACATACCTCAGTTGCAAGCTGAATCCTGGGCCCCTGTCCGTGAGCATGCAAGAGGCAACCAATTGATTTCTCTCTCTCTCTCTTTCTCTCCCTTCTTTCCACTCTCTCTAAAAATCAATGGAAAAATATCCTAGGGTTAGGATTAACAAAGGGAAAAAAAGAATGAATGGTGCTGCAAGAAGAAACTTATAAAAAAGATCTTTTTTCCTTGGTCCTGAATCTTTGCATAGGTTATCAGAATCAGAATAATGAATTAAACTCCATTACTTTGAAGTATTTATATCTGCCAAAGCCATGACATCTAAGGTAAATCTGAATGAAGAAAATACTTCTCTTACCTTGTCTTTTAGTTTTTCCATCCAGCTTCTCACTAGGGAAAATAAGAGAATAAAATGTAAACAGCCATCATTTTACTTATATGTCATTGTGTTAATTCTATAACATTTGAATAGCAATAAGTTAACTTGATACAATATGAACAGAGAATATTTTCTTTGATAAATGTATTTTTTATTATAAAATGCCTTGGAGGGAGGTCTGGGGATGGAGAGAAGAAATCACTTTTAAAATATCAAGTTCATTTCTTATCTGACATTCCCTCCTGAGTTGTATTCTTCATTGTTTTCCATTTTTAAGTTCACTGGGAATGTTATACTTGAATCAATGTCAGAGCAGAGTAAGGTCAGAAGTAGCAATGGGCAGAGTATGCTGGCCCAGCACTGGCTCCAAAGAAAAGCATTGGCTTTCCCATTTGAAGGAAAACTTGACCAAAAGTGAGAGAACAGAAAGTACTTCTGAAATCTCTCTAGCTTGCAAAGTGTGCCACTGTTTCATAGCATAACCATGAAGACAAAAATAAAAACAATAGTCAAGTAATATTTATAAAAGGCAACTAGAAGGGATTACATCTACTACGAAATGTTTCACAGACCATTCTTACAACCATTTGGAATTACATGTACCAAGAATAGAAGAAAGCATTGATCAAAATGAAAATGTGTTAGAATGATCATGTAAAGAGTAGTTTAAAGTTAGTGGTGGGATTTTTCATCCTCACTGACTTTTAAAGCTATAAAACTGAATGAAAATTCATTTTTAAGAAGCCTCAAAAAGGAGAAAACAGACAAATACATCCTCATTTTACATATTCACAAACTCTGGCAATTAACAGCTGGACATCTTTGCAGGGAGTATTATTCTCCTCACCATACCAGGTAAATTCCCCTGTTTCCCCACTCATGTGGAGGCGAGTTCCACACGGCATCTCAGAGAATTCCCAGCAGCAAGGAGCCCCAGGAATAATCCACTCAGGAATGGGGTACCCCCTTCCCTGGCTCTCCACTGACCCCTTTCTCACTGAACTCTTGGACAGCATTGAAAACCAAAAGAAAATGAAAGATATGAACCTGGGAGGAAGTTAATATTATCAATCACTTCCTCTCAGTTTGCTTTTAGGGAAAAGTCAAACTAAGACACTAGTCTAATTCTGCAACCATAGGCAAGTGTCCCCTTTGCCATGCCAATTTTAGTTACCTTGTATATTAAAAAAAAAAAAAAAAAAAAACTCTTAGAAGGAGCAGAAGGAGCAAGGAAGATAGGCAAGCTGGCCAAGCTCAGGGCAGATGCCATCTCTATTTATCTAAGTTAATTTTACTTATTTTTTTAAAATATATTTTATTGATTTTGTACAGAGAGGAAGGGAGAGAAATAGCTAGAAACGTCGATGAGAGAGAAACATCAACCAGCTGCCTCTTGCACACCCCCTACTGGGGATGTGCCCGCAACCCAGGTACATGTCCTTGACCGGAATCGAACCTGGGACCTTTCAGTCTGCAGACCGACACTCTACCACTGAGCCAAATCGGCTTCAGCTATCTAAGTTTATTTTAACTGAAGGACTAAGGGCTATGTGAATTTATAAAATATACCCTTTCCATATAGCATTGTATGAGCTGTATTTCATAGGTGGTTCTACTTAGCTCACATTCAATTTTGAAAAGGTTATAAATACAGTTTTTTTAATAATCAAATTTTCAACAGCATTTATACCTTTAATAATGTAGGAAACTTTCTTTTTATCTTAATCAGTGAAAAGGGAAATGTATGTTCCACCTAAATAAGTAATAAAATATCAGAGCATAGTCTTTTGCTGAAAGCATATATAACTACATTTCAATTACAGTATTTCTACAGTACCAATAAATAAATGGAGACCAGCTCTTATTCTTCCTTGTTATTTATAATCATAAGTGCCTCTTCTAGCCCAAGAAACAAACAAAGCTACTTTCCAATTTACATAACTACACTTAAGAATAATAAAACTTACCAAGTTTTAAATACTGTTTGCATGTTTTTTAAAGGAACTTTAGTTTTTCCAGCTTTGGATTAGTCTCTAATGATGCTAAATTTACCTGGTTTAAAATCACACAGAAACCCTATCTATCATCATTTGTTCTTCACATAATTACAGAACAGCAGGATCCGATGAAGAGAATGACCTACTTCTCTATATAGGGCTAAGTAGCAGTAATCATGCATCTAAGAAGCAATTAATTCTGAAGGCTCTGCACTAATATTCACAGAGAAGGGTGCGAAAAGCCGATACCTTAATCTCAACTTTCAAGTAATATTAAGTATATATTTAGTTAACTGCAAGCTTAAGAATGATACTAGATACCTACTGAGAAGATGCAGTTGAGTATAAGACATTCTCTTTGCATTTTCCCAGTAGGTATCTAGTTATGAACTTCGACCAAATGGCAATATAGGGTGCATAAGAAGTATGTGTGTGTTTTTTCTCTTCCCCAAAAGAGAACCATGATATCCACTGGGGGAAAAACAACTTGTCTGTGTTCCTCCTCTTTACCTGATGATGAGGGGAAAATGAAAACAAAAAGTCACTGTGCTTTGCACAAGACATCCTTGAAAATTCGGTTGGGCACTGAGGTTTCTGATCTCTGCTTTTACACTCCACAGCATCAAACCCACACTCAGGGGACCTGAAATTCGTCCCAACTCACCGTGACATTTGCACTACCCAATATTCAACTGGCTGGTGAAAAGAAAGAAGTTTGGTATTCAGGCTTTATTGTTTAAAAGGAAGTTTACTGTTTCCTGAAGTGCCTATCATCAGGCTTCCGGTGCAAGGTCAAATCTGTGAGTTGCTTGCCAGGTCCACTGAATCTACATCTTGCCAACTCATGTGAGGCTTTAACAGCCATAAAGTCCATCAGTTCTAGCTTCTGTCTTCCATTATCAATTTTATATAAAGTTATAGACCACTTCAGCTTTAAGTCAGGTCCCCACACACCCCTTTTCTTTATATAAATTTTTTCACTGATAAAAGTCATGGTTTGATCATAGGATGAGACCAAGAGAAGCCTGGTTATTAACTAAGTAAGTTTGAAATTTCGTGTTCACTGATGACCTTTATCTAAGCTTTCTGACATGTTTCTACATAATATACATGAAGCTCCTACTTCCCTAGTGACATAGCTCCACCAATTGATGAATCAATTAGAAGTGAAGAGCTGAATGAGTCTTAGAGTGGTTTCCAAGGCAATTTCAGGGTTTGCTTCCCAAAGTTCAAATTACCAGTTTATAATGTGTCACTCCTCATAATAAATAATGGGCAAACAGCAAGTGGCATGCACTCTCAAGAGAAATTAGGGCAAATCTTTGGTTAAGAGCACCTGCGCATTGCAATTAACACTCAAAGACAGAGCTTTTCTGCTATCAAAGGCAAGTTAGAGAGCATGCAGCTCTGGTGGGGTGGAAATTGTTGGAGGGGGGGATTCAGCAGAGAGAGAGAAAGAAAGAGAGAGAAAGAGACAGAGAGAGAGAGAGAGAGAACTCATGGATACAGACAACAGTGTGGTGATGGTGGGATGGAGGCTCTGCACTAATATTGACAGAGAAGGGTGAAGGTAGAAGAGGGTATAAAGAGGATAAATGGTGATGGGAAAAATATTTTTTTTTAAATAGGCAGTTTGATTCCTGGTCAAGGCATATGCCCAGTGTGAGGCATGCAGAAGGCAGCCAGTCAATGATAACTCTCTCATTATTGGTGTTTCTCTCTCTCCCTCTCCCTTCCTTTCTCTGAAATCAATAAAAACATATTTTTTTTAAAAAAAGATAAAATGTGCACCATTGTAGAAAACAACTTGGCAGTTCCTCAAAAAATAACTATAAAATTACCATATAACTCCACAATTCCACTCTTAGGTATATATATCTCAAATATCGAAAGCAGATCCTTAAACAAATATTTGCCCCATTATGTTTATAACAACACTACTCACAATAGCCAAAAGGTGGAAACAAACCAAATGTCCATCAACTAATGAATGGATTTTTAAAATGTATTTTATCTAATAAAAGAGTGATATGCAAATTGACCATCACTCCAACACACACAAGATGGCTGCCCCCATGTGAACACAAGATGGCCACCACAAGATGGCCAGCAGGGAAGGGCAGTTGGGAGTGACCAGGCCTACAAGGGAGGACAGTTGGGGGCAATCAAGCCTGCAAGGGAGGGCGGTTAGGGGTGAACAGGCCAACAAAGGAGGGAAGTTGGGGATGACCCGGCCTGCAGGGTAGGGCAGTTGGGTGGGACCAGGCCTGCAGGGGAGGGCAGTTAGGGGCAAACAGCTTGGCAGGGGAGCAGTTAGGCATCAATCAGGTTGGCAGGGGAGTGGTTAGGGGGTGATCAGGCTGGCAGGCAAAAGCAGTTAGGGGCAATCAGGAAGGCAGACAAGCAGTTGGGAGCCAACAATCCTGGATTGTGAGAGGATGTCCTACTGGGATCGGGCCTAACCTGGCAGTCAGACATCCCTTGAGGGGTCTCAGATTGGGGGGGGGGGGGGGGGTGCAGGCTGAGCTGAGGGACACACACACACACACCCATGTACGAATTTTGTGCACCAGGCCTCTAGTATACATATAATTACATACATTGAAATATTACTAAGCTTTAAAAAGGAATGAAGTACTAACGCTTACTACAACATAGTTGAATCTTGAAAACACTATGCTGAGTGAAAGAAGATGGGATACTACGTAAACCCTCCTGGAAGCTGGGTATAGCCATAGAGAAGGTAAAGGATGGTATTCATATTCCATCCACACATACCCAACTCATTGTGCCTCAGGCCCCACGTGACAGCCACCTGCTATACTCCCTGTCAGAGAAAACACCCAGGTCAGCCTGCCTTGCTGACTAGAAAACAGGATTTTTTCCTCACTGAAACATGCAGAATATAACATTTCACACTTAGATTATTTCTCTGGAATAATATTTCTACTGCCAGCAAGAAACAGAGGAACCAGGAGCAGTCTTACTTAGATTTCTTATTTGATAAGTTTTTA